CGCAGGGGAGGTGTTCACTCCCCCCCCCGGCCCGGCGCGGGCGGGGGGGGGGGAATTTTTTATTTTTTTCGATGAGGGCAAATTTTTGCCACTGGTTTGCTTCTAGAACACGTGCGGAAAAGATGCAGTATGAAGTGTGTTCTTAACTTAAAAGGGGAGGCGTAAAAACGTCCCTTGCTTCTGCGTGGGGTGAAGTTCTACAGATTTGTTTCTTTAATCTCGCCTTTTTATCAGTTGTTTTTTCTTTTCTTTTTGTCAATTCATCAGTTCGTCTCGTTTCTTTAGAAGAACTACCATATGCGTTGTTTAATAAGGCGTCACTACCCTGGTCCCCAATTCCACTACCCGCCCCCGGTCTCTGGTCCCCAAAGTGCTTTCAAAATGTATTTGGTTACAAAATAATTCCGCGCTTTTGGCGCGCTATTTCAGAAAAAAACTGCAACATAACGTGCCAAAACACGACGGCACAAAAACAACGTGCTATGGTAAAAAAATGCTGCCGTAAACTTAAATAAGACTTATTTCTAGACAGTCACGGGGAGGCGCCCCCATGCCCTTAAAAAGGCGCCCCTGACAGCGTTGCCCCCCCCCCAACGAAAACCAAAAAGTTACGCCCCTGTTTGTAATGTCTGTTTAATGCAAAATATTATATCTGCAATGATAGGAATTGATTCAGTGTGGCATTTTATTCAACTTCATAATCGGACATTCTGGGTTTGACGACTTTTTGCCCCACCAACTTTCCTGGAAAAGCTCCACCCATGCCCATACCCAGTGGCGTAGCGAAGGGGGGTCCCTATGGTCCCTCGGGACCCCCCTTGGGCCTTCCATGGGCCACTATCCCCGAAACTGACGGCAGGGCCCTTCGTAGTTTCAAAAGTTCCGGGATGGGCTGTTTCAAATGGGGGACCACACATGAATGTGGGCTTTACCTTACGTACACCCTGGCCAATTATTAGGGCGGACTTCACTCACTTTATTTTTGATGGGCCTCTTTTTTTTATTTAATATTTATTTCTTATAGTTTGGTTGAAGTTCGAGGGGCCCTCTTCAGAGCTAGTGAAGGGCCACTGATCGCTTGACGGGTGCCCTCTGAGCCACAGGAAAACCCTCCGATTGCATTAACCCGCGCACCGACGGGGGTCTGCGCCAACTTCGCACCGACGGGGGGGGGGGGCGGATGACCGCCCCCCCCCCTGAGATCTCGAGAACGAAGCAAGATAGCAACAAGCGGTAAACGGCATCGGATACGCACGGTCAAGATCTACAATTTTTACTAAGGTCATTTTCAGGTCAGGTCAAAGATGACGTCACAGGGGTCGAAAAAGTCAAAATGGCGGCGCTAGATATGGAGAGAGTTTTTCTCGAATAACTTTCGAATTAGTCAAGATAGGAACAAACTAAGGGCATCATCGTGATCCTCTCGTCAATCCACATCGAATGATATATATGTTGACCTCGAAAGGTCAAGGTCAAAGGTTGACCTCAGGTCACGTGACCTCGAGGTCATCATGTATATCATTCGATGCGTCTTGACGAGCTGAACACAATGAGACCAACCACGCGTCTGTATCTTGTTCCTGTACGGAGTTATTGGCCAAAAACCTTTGGTGACCTTTGATGACGTCACATGACCTCACAGCTGCCCAACAGCAAAACAGACCTCAAGGTAGTGAAGGTTGATCGTATATGAAGTCAGGTATGGTATATGGGGCCATTCCGACCCGTTTTAGTGGTAAAAACAGGGAGTTGATTTTTCCCCCATTGACTTATAATGGGGAGGTCGCGAAATTGACCTGACCTTAGGTCACCGATATCAAAATTCCGAGATATACAAATTGTAGCTACTAATGACCTAATAACATCCTGCGACTTTCAAAGGCCTCCGACATCTACTGTAGCTCTGGCACGGTGACAAAGTTGCAAAAAAGTGACTTGAGGTTGGGTCATTCAAAGTGACCTGGTGACCTGAACTTGAAAGGTAGGAGGTTCAAACTTGCACACCAAGTGTAAAATTGATGAGGGTATAGTCATGCCAAATTTCGCGGCGCTACGCGCCGCGGTTTTCCCGCTATTCGCGAAAAACCTCAGGGGGGCGGATATCCGCCCCCCCCGTCGGTGCGAGGGTTAAGGGCCCCCTGATCGCTTGACAAGAGCCCTCTGAACTAGGTACAGAAAGGCCCTCTGAATACACGAGAGGGCCCTCTGAACGCATGAAGAGGCCCCTGATTGATTGACGTGGCCTTCTGAGCTACAGTAAAATCCTCTGAGCGCATGAAAGGGCCCCCGGTCGCTGGACGGGGGCCCTCTTATCTACCGACGGGCCCTCTGAACGCGTCGAGTTGCCCTCTGACTCTGAGGCGAGCTCATGATGGGACTCTAACTAACATCTGAAGGGTCCTCTGTCAGTGTAAAGGAACCGCAACTTGCGTGAGGGGCCCTTTTTGGACCGAGAGGGCCCTCTGTCGGTCTGAGGGGCCCCCGATCGGTCTGAGGGCCCCCGATTGGTCTGAGGGGCCCCCGATCTGTCTGAGGGGCCCACGATCGGCCTGAGGGGCCCTTTGTTTGTCCGAGGGGCCTATATTAACTGCAGGGTGATCAACTATATCACCTGATGAGGTCCTCTATTGACATGAGGGGCCTCTGTCAGTCTCAGGGTCCCTCTCCCGACCTAGGAGAGGCCCTCCGCTGTTCTGAGGGGCCCCTGCCGGTCTTATTTGGCCACCGATTGACCTGAGAGAGCCCTCTGTTCACCTGAGGGGCCCTCTGTTGATCTGTTGGTTTCCGACGGTTGGTCTGATTCGATGTCGGTTTGATGGATCTCAGATCGGATCCACTGTCGATCTGGGGGGCCCCGAGGCCCTCAAATGACCTGATGGGCCCTTAGTTTGTCTTAGAGGGCCCTCCATCGGTCCGACAGGGCCCTCTGCATTCTGCGAGTGCAAGGGGCCTTTTGTCGGTCTGAGTGGCCCTTAGACGGCTTACATGACCCTCAGACGGCTTACGAGGCTCTCATGGCCTGTAGCGGCCTTTGACGGTCTGAAGGACCCTCATCCGACCTACGAGACCCTCAGTCCGCCTTCAGAACCGGCTGAGCGAAGCGACTCTATGAGGCTATTCGTGTGCCTATCTGGCAAGGGCCCATGGACTGCTTGCCCCCTCAGTTCTAACATTTTTTTCATTTAAAAAAAAATCAGCTTATTTGGGCCCCCTCCAAAAAATAGTGCATGAAATCCGACGACTTTTTGAATTTTGAGGGGGTTACCTTGGGCCCTTGTAGGTTTGGAACCCCCCTTGAGGAAATCCCGGCTACGCCCCTGCCCATACCTGCACTTCTGTTGACGTCACGCTGCCAAAAGACAGTCAGCTGTCGCCCTAGACCTTTTCATATTTCTGATATCGAGGTGGGCGGTGTTCCCCAAAGGGCGGTGTTCCCCCGTCTTCCCCTACCTTTGTTGTTGAAAAGTTTGCAACTTTAAATTTGAACTTTTTTGACCTGAAAGTGACCTGACCTAAGCTATATTCAGCTGAAAATGGCCTCATATAACACAGGTGATACCGAATTCGAAATCTATGGCCTAAACGGACCATAAAACGTGTGTCACGTGACCAATGCATGATATTAAATTTCACCTGACCTGATCCGTGACCTGTGATGACCTGACCCTGACCTGAAAATCAAAGTACCTACACATTTGGTACCCTCAGGGTACCTATCTTAAGTTTTTTTCATTCACGAGTGTGTAAACCAAAAATGAGCCTGATCTGACTTCTAAGCCGGCGCGGCGGCTAGAGCCCAAAATGTGAACAAGCCAAACATCGATAATTTTTATTTTGACCTGACCTGTGACGTCATCGGTGACCTCGAGGTCAATGAAATTAGGTTTCGCTCGACAGCTTTTTTCCAGCGCTATCAGATGTCGTTTGAATTTTGACGATCGGCCCAGCAGTTTCGGAATTAGGAGAGGGGGGAGGCTATGAATAGCCCGCCCCCCCCCCAAAAAAAAAAACCAGTAGGGCGTGTTATGCGTAGACCCCAGTGGGGCGCGGTTTAATGACCTTGAACTGACCTTCAAATGACATTGACACCCACCATAATGCATGTGACAAACATTATTTCACATGTTTGAACGTTTACAAGTTGAAGTTACAACCACAAAAAGACTTGAAACGCGCGGATAAATGATGTGAGCTGACATACGCCGAATCGCGATTCCGGCCAAACCTGGCTTCAAGAAAGAGCAAACTCGAAGGTCAAAACTTCAAAAGCCATTTGAGTCAGGTTCATGAAATTTTCAGAGTACGTGTAAAATTGATTAACTCGAGAGTATTAAAAATTCGTCGCAACTGGCCGATTTTTGCGCCTGTTATTAAAAAACGGAGGGGGTCCATCCGACCACCCCACACCCTACAAGTGCGAGGGTTAATATTTGTGAAAGCCCTGAGGGGGGGAAGGTGGGTTAGAACGTCCTCGCCCCGGCGCGAGCACCAGGGTCGGGACCTCAGAGAAACTGTTGTATAGTCGACTACAGAATGATGTTCCACTCCTCAGAAGCTACCAGTTAACCGGAGCGCTAAGTTGTGCCGTTTATCACGCAATTAAGCGTGTCGATTGTGAGCATTGGGACAAAGCTACAATTTGTGAACTCAGCCCGTGGGATGCGGCACAGCCGTAGTCGACTACCCTCACAAAATAACGTTCCTTATAGGGGCGGCGTCTTGGGCGGCGTGGAGCGCCTCGCCTATTGCCCAAAAGCCTTATCTTACCGGCCTTGATCTTACCGGGAAATAATTTGGAACCGTGGAGGCAGTTAAACTATGTGACAGCTAAACCACACACAAAAAATAGTGATGGGTACCTATAGGAATCAGGGGATCTACTTTACTCTCCACCGTCCAACCATGAACCAAGGCCCAACGCGTCCCCCTTGGATGATCATGGCACCTGAGCGTTCGGTGCGTTGGGCTGATGCAGCTAAGCTTTGCCGCATTGTCGCCAGATACCAGCACACACGTGGCGGCGCGGTCGGCGCGGCGGCGGTAGTCCGGTTAGCACCAGCCACCGCCGGCCAGCCGCCAGCCCACCGCCGCGCCGCGGCCGGCCCCGTAGCGCCCGTCCGCCACCGCCACCGCCGCGCCGAGCCTCCGCCGCGCCGACGCAGTCCTCTCCCAGCGCGTGAAAATGGCGAGCATTACCAAGGAGGAACTCCGGGCCGAAATCGTCGGTAAGTTTGACACTTCTGATAGTGACCATTTCTGCTGTCGTGGAGGGGTAGTATTTTGTGTGCTGAGTGTTTCTGTATATCTCTTTCTGCCGTCCGTGGCGATTTTGTTGGTAAATTTCGCTGATAAAAGTACGGGGTGCTGTACAGCCTCTGGCAGAAGCGTCCACCATGTTGGGCCGGCGACCGTCAGTCAGGAAATATAATTCTAGTTTACACGTAAAATATGCCTCTCACTGTGGTATGATGTAAGTTGCTATATACGCAATATGGGGGTGCTGCTTCGTCAGTAGGCTGCTGAATTTCGTGTTTGTTTCGTTGTTCGGCGTCAATTCGGCCATGTCTGGAATGCCGGTCGTACGGCCTCCAACATGGCGTCGTGGACAGCTGGGCCGGGCGGCCGGCGCCGTGCTGCGGCGGTGGCGGCCAGCGGCGGCGGCCGCCGGTACTAGCGGCTGGCGGCGCCGCTCAATCCGTGCCGGCTGTCCCGCGTGTCACCGGCCTTCACCCCTGTCGCCGTGCCCCCGGCCACTGCCCCTGTCTCGGCCGCCACCGGGACCGTCATGGGCAGCTCCGGGACTGCGAGAACATTCTCGCTTGCGCACGGCGTATCAACATGCCGGCCGGGTGGGAGGACAGGGCTGCAGCTGTCGGAGTCCGAGGGGACGCCCCCGCCTTGCCGGAACGGCGGCGGCGCCGCGGGCCTCTGGCGGCAGCGTCGGGGGTCGGCAGCGGCCACTGAATCTGTCTGATTCGGCCGGGCTGGTGGAGGTCCTGTGCTGAGGCGGTACGGCGCAGGGACCGCCCCGGCGCCAGTAGCCACGAGGGGGCAATACCGGAGGTCGGAGACCTCAACTGTCATTGGCAGGCATTTTTTTTTTTAATTGACAAAACGGACCAAGAGCTGCCTCTTTTTGGTATCATTTTTGGTTGTTAACTTTGTTATTACTGCTCTACGTACTAATTATCTGGGCTAAAGTTTGTCTCAACCAGGGCTGCGGAGTCGGAGTCGGAGTCGGAGTCGGTCGGAGTCGACAGTTGTGACCGGAGTCGGAGTCGGAGTCACCGAAAATCTGTCGACTCCACAGCCCTGCCAGGTGTGCGGAGTCGGAGTCGGGAGTTGGAGTCGATCGGAGTCGACATTTCTGCCCGGAGTCTGAGTCGGAGTCGGAGTCGCCGTAAATTCATCGACTCCGCAGCCCTGGTCTCAACCACCGACGATGGACTTCCTCTTATCAAGATGATAACGAGGATGATTAACAAGCTAGTATGGTGTTGGCCTTGAGCTCCCTCAACATATCGTCTGAAGATCTATCTATTTATTTATTTTTATATGAAAAGTTTTTTCCCCGCTGTCCATCGGCCGTGGGGATAGCGGCATTACAGGGAGAGCTGCGTGTGCCCTGCTACCCTGTTATTGATTCGATATACTTGGTGGAACGTAGTATTTTTCGCGACCTTTTCCTTTTCTCTAGAGCGTGCCGATAAGGTGGCATTATTATATTATATTATATTAGGTGGCACACCGGGAGCTTATTGATACCTCCCGGTGTTTGGACAGACCACCCGTATGTCAATGGCTGGGCTGGGCGCTGGGCGCCTGGTCAATGGTCATGTGGCCGGCGCACGGTGCCATCCGGCGGCGTCGGCCGCCCGGGCTCCGATTTGAACTGCAGGACGCCACCTGGCGGCTCGGCACGCTGCCGGCCGACCGAGGGGCAGGGGAGGGGAGGCGCACCGTGTGCGGAGGGGGAGGGGGCTGGTTGACGGGGCACCGGTCGATCGCCTACGGACGGCTCAGCGTCGTCCGTCCTGATTAGGGACGTGCAGCGAGTTATTTGCTACCTACGGTTGGTGTTCTGATAATGCACTTTTTGTCACACCTGACATTTGAGCCCTTGGATAAAGTTCAACACAGGCTGTCAGACAGCCTGTCATTCGATTCTCTGACGTTTGTTTTGCGAAGGTTCTCGTGATGCAGTTCTCGCGACGGCAGCACGCCATCGGATCCCGTGTTGTTTGAATGACGTCATATATGCGCCGCCCTGATAACGGTTAGCAGCTATGGCGCCGGTCAGTGTCAGCCCCTTCAGTTGGAATGGTTTCCTATCCTGTGGTGCCTCGCTCTCTCAGTCAGAGGTCGGTGGCAGTCTGGGTGAGAGGGTCAGAGCCGATGGTTGGTCTGCTGACCACAGCGGCCGCGGCGGCGGATAGCGGGCGCCGACTGCGATATCGACGGCGTCGTCCCTCTTTTTTTTTTATTAATTTAGTCTTCCCGGCATGCCTAAGGCAACCGCCAGGGAAGGGGAAATTACTAAGGCTGGCAATGAGCCAGATCTTTCGTTTTACTTTACTTTACTGTCAGCTATTTAATTCTGACCCAAGCAAGAGAGAGAAGCAAACTTTACTTTAATTCGGCTCATGTGGCGTCCGATTAACAACCCTCTTCCCGCCTCCTCCCCTCTCACCGGACGGCGCAGTAGTGCGCTACGGCAGAGGGACAGCGAGAGAGAGAGAGCCGGGAGCCTGCTCGACGCGAAATGAGGGACAATCCGATGGGATTAAATGAGGCCGAGTATCGTCAGCGGAGGAGCAGCGGGGGTGGGAGCTGCCGGCCCGCGCCGCGTGCCTGCCTGCCGGGTAGAGGGACGGGGTCACAGGCAGAGTGGAGGGGCCTGGCGGTGTTGTGGCGTCTCTGGCCGCTGGAGCCAGTTTTTGCATGGTACCGTCACTCCTCGTCCGGGGGAGTGGATATTTTTCACCCTCGTCTCACAGCTCCGTGAAACAGCGAACGTATGGCGGCGACTCACGTGGCTCACACTCCATGAATCGTTTCTTGTATCCCACATAATATTGATATGTTCTCACTTCTCATGGATCAGGATATCTCACGATGCCTATATCGTGAAGCGCTGCGAACCGCGACTCGCCGACTACATTGCGCTGTACTCAGTCGTGTTATCTTCTTCCTTTCAAGCTATCTGATCGGTACTGGTCATAAGAAATGGTGTTTTTATAAAGCCTGTTTACGAATCCTTTGTTTCGCCGCTTTTTTCGGTGGGTGTCGGGCACTGTCGGACAGTGACGTGCTCAGGAATGTCGTACAATCTGCACCATCCTGCGTCCCAAGTGAGCGGCGGTTGGTATTGGCACGGGTGAACTGGGTGACCGATAACGTCCCTGCGACGGATATACCGTGACAAAGGGTCGCACTGAGGGGGCACGGGGCCGCGCCGAGGGGAGGGGGTGGGGGCAGACGACCGGTGGACCAGCGCCGAGGGTCGGCGGCAGGCAGGTGGTGCCGGCGGCGACACCGGGCCGCCGCGCCGGCCGCGTGGTCCCAGCGGCCGGCGGGACGGCGCGGCTCCGTCCCATGACGGCACGCTGGGGCGCAGCTACCGACGGCTGCGGCGCGCCGCAGAGTTTGGCCAGTCACGCTGTAGAGAACTCGCCCGGGCGACGTTTACAGGCCACTCTGCATGCCTGTAGAATAAATCACACGCAGCCGGTTTGCTTTTGAAGTCGGGCACACGCTGATGTTGATGTTTTATATATTTTCCGTTTATCGATTCCTTTTTCATCTCTGATATCCATATCGTCGGTTCGATCAGAGATCTGGCTGCCTGGTGCGCTGTTCAGTGTCGAACCCCGTCGTCCTCGCGGTGCGCTGCCAATAGACGGCGGTGCGCTGACGTGGCAGCGTCCGGCTAGTGCATGGACGCCGTGTGGGGAGCGGCGGACACACCCGGGCCGGGGTGACCCGGCGGCAGTCGCCTCCGTCCGCCGGCCGCCGCCGCGCCGCTCCCCGCTCCCCGGCCTTGGCCACGGCCGACCGGGTTGAGAAAGCTGGAGCCGCGGCGCGGCGGCGGCGGCGGCCGGTATCGGGCCGCGCTGCCAACTCGGCCGGCCGGCGCCGCCTGCAGAGCTCCAGCCGGGCCGCCAATGACGGACGATGGGCCGGCTGACACGCCAACGGCCGGCGCAGTTTGAGCCGACCGAACCGCCACGAGGGGGACCATCCGGCAGCCGGGCGCTTTGAAATGGTGTGACGGGAGTGGGGAGGGGAGGGAGCCGGAGACCACGACATTAGATTGCAGAATAAAACAGGCCTGACATTCAGAAAATAAACGATTGAGGCGCCATGAAGTGTTAATCCATGCGTTTTCTTTAAAGTCGTTGGCATACGTGTCCCATTCGGTGCACCTATGTGCTTTTCACAATCCTATTTTTCTAATTTTACCCATAATTTACGATTCTGAAACGATGTTATCGGCCTTTAGCGCGACGCAACTATGAGGCGCTAAGGTACGGCATCCATAGACTTTGAACAACATTAATCGAATGTGCCACCCACGGACTGAAAAGTGAAAATGCCACACTGAAATCCCCTCGTATCCGGCGCTGTAAGCTTAGTCAAAAAATGGTGGGATATCCATTTTATCGACTTTTCTCAATGCTTATTAGCTTGCTCCCAAAGTTTGTCTGTGCGGTAAGCCCGGCGCTGGTCAGTCACTGGTTTTGGATGTCTGACCATCTCGTCCTCTCTCCGCCGGCAGCCCAGCTGGACGACGCCGACCTCGCCTCTGTGTCGGCCAAAAAGGTCCGCCAGGCGCTGGAGAAAAAGTTCGATGAGGACCTGACCGACCGCAAGAAGGAGATCGACGACCTCATCAACGAGGTGCTGGCCGAGAAGAACAGCGGCGGAGAGGAGGAGGAGGAAGAGGAAGAGGAGGAGGAGAAGCCGGCGCCCAAGAAGAGGAAGGCCGCTCCCAAGAAGGACGCGAGCGACAGCGAGGGCGAGCCCAGCGATGACGACGATGACGAGGAATATGCCCCTAAGAAGAAGCGCGGAGCGCCCAAGAAGCGCGCCAAGAAGTCCGACAGCGATGAAGAGGACTGGAGAGCTTCAAAGAAGGCGGTGAGAACTCTTGCTCACGTTACGTGCAGTTCTGACGGTTCTAACTACGATGTATGTTTCGTGTTCACTGTTTACTTTCCTCTTTCTTTGAAAATGTATTCGAATAAAATGTAGTGCCGAGGTAGGTACGGATGTTAGTTGAGTTCGATCTCGTGTTGTTTTACAAAATATTGATCGTATTACGTGCTTTCCGACAGCCGAAGAAGGCAGGCGGCGCCAAGAAGGGTGGCACCGGCTACACCAAGAAGTGCAAGCTGTCCGAGCCGCTGGCCAAGCTGATGGGTGAGGACCGCATGGCTCGTCACGAGGTCATCAAGAAGATGTGGGCCCTCATCAAGGAGAACAACATGTACGACCCAAAGAACAAGCAGTACGCCATTTGCGACGACGCCATGCTCTCCGTTATCGGTAAGAACTACAGGAACTGGTCTGTCTCTGGCGGGCTGTCTCTTCTTCATTTCCCACTCACATTATCACCTTTTCTGATTCCGGAAAAGAGTGACATGAGGGCTCATTGGAGTCTTTCAGCTGTCATGATTCACATCCTCTCGCTCTGAAGTGACCATCATCTGACCACATTGTGTCCTCTGCAGGAGTAAAACGCTTCCGGACGTTCGGCATGATGAAGTACCTCAAGGACCACTTCACCAACGAGTAGCCGCCGCCCGCCATCGCGCGCCGCCGGGCGCTCTCTTCACGTCACCAGATAGGTTAGGAATGTCATCTGTCGTCTGCATGTCGCCGCCGCGGCGGCCGCCGGGTCGCCGATGGAGCGCCCGGCGGCCGGCGGCCGGCCGGCCGTGTCGGCCACGCGCTCTCGCGGTTCTGTTGACTGCCGCCCGCCGGCCGCTCGCCGGGCCCGACTGCAGGGTAGACGCGGCGAATCGGAGGGCTCCCGGACAGCACAGCGCGCCCACAGCGCGCTCCGTCTGTGCCGAGCGGCGCACCTCAGCCGCGCGGAGCAGCTCCCCAGTAGCCGCCGCACCGGCTGTGCTCGCTGGCCGTGAAGGAAAATCCATACACATTGTATTTGTCACCGTTTGTTTGGGTACTCGTGCTTTCTGAGCTGACGCGAGACTCGGATATTTGTGCGGTTTTGTTCTCAACGTGCTTGTAGGTGTGCGTACGTCTTCATGAATGTCGTCTCTTTCTACAATACATGACTGGTGGACTAAGCACTGTGTGTCTTAGCAAGGATGTAAGACCATCTAGGACCATTCTAAGCTCATCTCTGTCGATATCCTTCCATCTCGTTGTAGTTTTAACAGCGTAGTTTAACATGTTAAAATACACAGTTGACGTCTTCATGCAAGCACCCGAGCCGACGTCATAAAGTGAATCAGGACTAGGCATTCTGCTATAGTAGTTCTGAAAAAAATCTGCAATTCGGAAGCGAACAGTAACTGCGCTTATCTGGACTGCGACTAAGGTCCTGGTATCCTGCCTACACTGGATACGGGTGAAACGGCCGCGAGCAGACAGGTGACCTCAGCGAAGTCGCAGACTAAGGATCCGCGCAAATCTTACATAACGGCGTGATCAAATTGGCAGGCCATCAGCGTCTTTACCACAGGAAAACCGGAATTGCAATGGGAGCAGCAGGATTGGTTAGTGCAGTGAAATTATGGCGTATTCCGTCGTTCTAGTTGGCTCAGGAGTGTTCACAGCAGATTTCTAGGACGTTTTGAGTCAATTATCCACATAATTTTCTTTGCGTGTTCCATTTTCTAGGTAAACAAGAGCCTATCTAACGAAATCTCAATGTCATCATGTCCAGCACAATATCATCTCGGACTCTAATATGCAGGCTTCGAACCGGTTTGCGATCCGGCGACCTTCCTGGTATTGCAAATACGGTAGCGCGAGCTGTTGCTGGCACATATGAACATAACTGATGTCCCTCGAGGCTAGAAACGAGACGTCCGCCTGCCCCGGCTGCGCGGACACCGGCTGTCCGGCCGCCCGGTACCTGGTGTGCGAGGAGGAGGCGGACACCCCGCAACACGTCCTGCTGCGCTGCCCGTGCCTCTGCGGGGCCCGCCTCCTCGCCATGGGCAACATCTACGGACGCCCCACCGACTTGAGACGGGACGACGTGGTGGCAGCCTTGGCCGCCGGCTTTCGGTCCTTCCAGAGCCGAACGACTACGCCCTGGTGACGGGGCCGAGGGGAATACAACATCAACAACAACAGATGCATTCTCGCTAGGTGCCGCGCCCGCTCGTAACCTACGTTACCTTAAGAACTCGCGATAGTTTTGGTACGACGAAAATTGGGGGTCGCATGGATTGGTCCGTACATATCTGGAAGATTCCGCCACCTCCTACCATCCCCGTCCGCTTCCCTCACGAAAGAGCCAATAAACAACGTCCACTATATTTCTGGACACATCCACACGCACGACCGTATACACATTGCCTCGAACATCGCAAAACACATAAGAAGAGTAATTAATGACCCCCCCCCCCGACTCCGTCACACCCCCTCTGTGAGACCTCACGAACACATCTACTGCAGTCAATCAATGGACATGGAGGATGGGAGCGGCTCTGGGAGCCACCGAACGGTGATGGGTCTCGGCGGCGCCGCGCAGCTGTGAGATGAGAATACCGCCGCCGGCCGCTGTCAACGAACGGAACGAACGGACGGAGCCAACGAACGGAGCCGGCGCCGGCTGAACCCGGTTTGTACAGCGGTCGCGGCGCCGGGGCAGCGACGCGGCCGGCGCGGCGCCTACGAGTGGGTGGCGTCGTCCTCGACGAAGTCGTAGGCCTCCTCGCGCGTTACGCACACCACGTGAGAGACCTGGCGACGGAGAGGTGCGTCAGTCACAGACGGGTTGTTATGTACTCGCGTCAATCAGTCACAGACGGAGTATCACACAGTACACGGCCGCCGCGGTCGACAGTACAAACACCTGGCTGCGTAACACCGACGCTGCAACGGTGACAGCTGTAGAAACATTGTCCGGTCTGACGAGCATAAACAAACATTCGTCGAGGTGACGACTTAGCACGTTACAGTTTACACGTTGTTTGCCAGTCTGGGTTATCAAGACTGAATTGGTGCAACATGACTTACAATTACGATTCGTTTGTTATTTATCGAAGTGGAAGCCCTTATTCATTCATTCATTCATTCATTCATTCATTCATTCGAATCGCCTCTTTCATTCATTCAAACTTAACCTGACACCGGCTGCTCGCCGATTATTCATATCCATTCGTTAACAAGCAGTTTACTTCCCACAAATATTGGACCAGTCCTTCATTGGAAGAATGCCAAGCGGGTACAGCGTAGCAAGTAACAACTCCTTATGGGACCCGCGCACCGGCCGACAAACACGCTGCCCGGCCCACCACCGCCCGCCGCCGAGGGCCGCCTCACCTTGTTGCGGAACTTGACGCCGTAGAACTTGTTGGCGTGCTCGAGCAGCTCGGGCCGGAATGTGGTGGTGATGAACTGCGCCTCGCCGGCCAGTTCGTGGATCATGTCGGCCACCGCCTTCCTGTGGGTGGCGTCCAGCGCCTGGGGCACGCACACCCCGTCAGTGAGTCGGTACGGTAAACGTATGGGCACAGCGGGACTCGGTGCAGCAGTGGGGCACGATGTCACGGGTCACGACCACATAACATGTCCGAGGATCGATACCACACTACACCGGGACACGATACCGTACTGCACTGAGAATCGACACCCACTTTACTACACTAGGACATAACACGGAACTGCATCGGGACACGGCACAACACCAACCCCGAACAGTTGACACATATTACACCGGGACATGAAATGGAACTAAACTGGGATAGGAGACGATACTACACCGGGACATGATACGATACTACACCGGGACATAATACGATACTACACATAATACGATACTACACCGGGCCATACTACGATACTCGCCAGAATCGGTTAATAAACATGCACAGGAGGTAAACTGACTAAGTCATTTTGAACGCGAAATAATGAAAATGCCTTGTTTTGCTCCCTCCAAAATTGGATTTTTGAATTTGCATACCTTTGAAAGGCAGCTTTTATTGGAGCGCAATGAATGCCATTCGTCACGTCAAAATCGGTTCGTTGCTTATTTCTTGAGATAAAACGGGGATTTTATAAAATGGGGGTTTACTTATAGATCCTGTCTGCAGCACTGTGTCCCACGGCAGCCCTCCCTCTCCACCACGCGGTCGCCAGCCGCTCACCTGGTCGATTTCGTCGAACAGGTAGAACGGGGCCGGGTCGCACTTCTGGATGGCAAAGATGAGCGCCAGGGCGACGAGCGACTTCTGTCCGCCGGAGAGCTGGTTCATCTCGCGCATCTCGGCGCGTTTGCCGCTGAACGACACTCGGATACCGACGCCGGTGAACGAGTCGACCGTGGTGGGCCGCGCCGGCTCCTGGGGGCCGGCGGACGCGGCACGTCACTGGGGCGCCGTACACGTCAGGGACACGGTACGACAGAATCATGCGTAGCTCTGGAAGTTGGGCACGGTCCTACTCACAGTAGCAGCTCTGCTGCCGCGGGACGGTACTCGGAGCTATCGCCCACACCTGCTTGGGCGCCCTCCAGCTCCTCTCCGTGCCGGACAGGTGCGGACAGGGCAGAGGTACCGTGTCGCGGCGTGGGCCAGCAACATACCTCAGAGCACGATAGTACCAAATTATAACCGCGCACGGCGGGCCCCAGACCTACATACCAGCACATAGACAAGTCACAGCTGCTGATGTAACAGCGGCCGGCTGCCGACAGATCGCTTCCCAATAACCCCTCCCCCACTGTTCCTGGTGGCCTCGTCCAGTCCGTCCCTTCCATCCCCTCAACCCCCGATAGGAGCCGCCACTCACATCGTCATCGTCGTCGTCCTGGTCGGTCTTCATGATGAGCTGGGCGTGCCCCTGCGGCACCAGCTTGCCGAACACCTCGGTGAAGTTCTTCGAGACCTGTTTGAACGTGAACTGGATGGCCTCAAACTTGCGCTGCTCCAGCACGGACATCAGCTCCATGATTTTCTCGTAGCTGCCGACAAATGGGGGTCAGTCAGACAAGAGTCCAGTGCAGGGGTACACATCCAGTCAGAGCATAAAAGGGCAATTCAAACGCCAAAGGCAACGGAATACACCTTATACGACGGACGGGTGTAAAACTCATGCAGGATGAGTTCAAAGGTTACCCCAAAAATGGCAAATATTCTACTTCATTTACACACTGGTCATTTAAAGTTGGCTTTTCTACATACATATCATGAGCCAGCCATCTACCAGGACCTGCTGCGGACCCACTGACACTTACCCTCTGTTCTGTTGGTCCTTGCGCTGCATCAGCTTCTCCTTATGTTCGCTGAAGTGGACGAACTGGTCGAGGGCCTTCTTGTTGACGTGGCTGTACTTTTTCAGCTCGCCGTTGGACTGTTCCAGCTTCTTGAAGAGCTGCTTGGTGCTCAGCGCCTGGTACTTGTCGAACGCGTCAGACGGCAGCGATCCCAGCTCGCGGATCTTCTTGGTGCACTCGGCGATCTTGTTTTGCAGCACGTTTTGCCGCGATGCCATCTTCTCCAGGTCCTTGGCATCCTCGTCGATCCGCTCCTGCACCTCCTTCTCCTTGGTCTTCCACGTCTCCACCTCCTTCTGTGCCTCCTTCTGCTTCTTCTGCAGCGCGCTCACCTTCTTCTCGAAGTCCTTGAGGTTTTTGCTGACGTCTGCGATCTTCTCCTCGGAGCGGGCCAGCTCAGCCTTGCTGTGCTCCAGTTGCCGCTTCCTGTCCTCCACGCTGATCTCCTGCAGCGCCTGCATCAGCTCGTCCTTGCGGCGGTTCAGGTTGTTGGTCAGCAGGTTCTCCAGCTTGTTCTTCTCTGCCTCCAGCTTCATACGCATGCTGAAGGCCTCCTTATTCTCGCGCGTCAGCCGGCGGATGTCGTCGTTCAGCTTGTCGACCTCGTGCTGGTCTTCGACGCTGAGCGTGGTCATCAGGTCCTGGTGCAGCTCCGACTCCAGGCCGTCCTTGGTGTTCATCATGGCCTCCAGGTTGGCGCGCAGCGTGTTCAGCGAGCGCTCCTTGGGCTGCCGCGAGCGCTCGATGCCGTTCAGCTCCTCCTTCATCAGCCGGATGTCGGCCTTCACCTTGTCAAACACGTCCTTGGCCTTGCTGTTCTTGGTCTCTGTGCGCTGCATCTCGGAGACGATCTTGTTGATTTCGGCCTCGGTGGAGCGCAGCTGGTCCTTGAGCGTGGAGAACTCGTCCTCGGACTCGGCGATCTGCTGCATGAACTCGCTGCGCGTCTTCTGGATCTCCAGCCGCGAGCGGGACGTGTTGAAGTAGCCACCGGTCAGCGAGCCCTTGCTCATCACCTGGCCAACAAAGACGCAATGTATAACGTTACCACATGCACACAATAACTAGCACCCCAACTCAACGCTAACAACGAAACTACCACCGACTGATATCCCAGAAAAAGCGTCGGTCACTACATTCTCATCCGCAGTTGCGCGATTATCCATTCACCCTCTGATCAGCCAACAAGAAATTGAGCGGGCTAGTCATGCTTATTCTCTCAATCTGACGCGGCAGTCAGTGCCACAGTGAAGCCCAGCCGTCTGCTGCTCTGGAAATACTCCCAACCCTACAAAATTGCCGCCAACCGTTTAGCACTACCGCCGTCCGACTGACCTGGTCTCCGTCCATGGTGACGCAGTCGAGCCGGTTGGTCTTGGCCAGCTGTGTGGCCACCTCCAGGTTACGACAGATCAGCGTCCGCCCAAATATGTACTTGAGCGCCTTGTCGTAACGGTCGTCATAGTTCATCTTGCTCACCATCGGAATGGCGTCCTGTCGGTTACAGCACGGTCATTATATCTTCTTCTTTTTTAACTACCTACTCCGCCACCCATGATCAGGTGACCATACTCAAACCCCGACCCTCAAACTCGTTGGTTTGACGCAGTCGACGCCGGAATCCCGCGTACACACATGACATAAGGCTCTGCAGCTGAACGGCAAACATTGGCTTGGAAAGGAGCATCGCGGAGAGTCTGGGGTCTGTTATAATTCCCTGTGTATGTCACCCATTTCTCTATCTCATTTATCGTTTAAGGATACCAAGCTTGACCAGCTTATTCATTGCTTAATTTTCTCATTTATCTATGAAGGTCAGTCTTTACCGCGTTTGACTGGTACCAGAAATCCTGCATAGCGATCATTCCAATCACTCGCGATCCGTTGTGTCCCATCAGCCTGGACGGCGGCGCACTCACGTTGGTCTGCGGGTACTCGATGTCCCTGACAGCCAGCCGGTTCAGCGGCATGAACGTCACCTCCCCGGGCAGCTTCTGCTTGTTCATTTCCTTCAGGATCTGCGTGCCCACCTTGTCCGAGTCGACCACGTGGTGGAACAGCCTGCCGCAGGGAGAGACCGTGGGTCGGCGCATTATAGTCAGTCCGTCACAGTCAGACAGCGGGCCGTCATATCACAAATAGCGGGCTGCCACACTGTCACAGCACTGACAGCAGGCTGTCATAACAGACGGCAAAAAGAGCCGCACCAAACGCGGGAAGATAAGCTGCCTAGTGTCATTGCTAGCCTCCAGACATGAAACATGCAAAACAGAGCCATAATATCTATATTCAATAGCGTGTATCACGTAGTTACAAAGAAAAAGGTGTAGACTGCGACTACCATGATAAACATCCTATTTGACAACCTCGCGCCCTTCTAGCAGTATGTTTTTTTAAATCGAGACAAACGAAGAAGAGTGAAGGCGAGGACAGAAACTCATAACTATGCTAATAATTAAAGACAAGTAAATAAAGCGACGTAAACGCCTCTAAAAAAAAAAAAAAAAACATCTGTCGCAATTAAACTCTAGAAGCCCAGACAAAGCATTGATGATTATCTCTAAAGCCATTTATGAAAAACACGAAACATTTCAACTTCCTACGATAACAATCAAACTAACGGACTACGAACGGGCTAACGAAAAAAAAAAACAGCCGCCCGGCGGCGCCGACCGTTACCTGTTTCCGGCGGTGACCTCGACGGCCGTGTAGATGGTCTTCTCGCAGTCGAACAGCTCGATGACGGGGCCGTAGTACATGGTGGCGTACTCGGCCCACTGGCCGCCCCGCTCGCGGAACGTGTCCAACACCTTGCGCACCGAGTCGCGCCCGTTCAGGATCGGCTTTCCGGCCATGGAGCGGAGCGACTGGTCGGCGCGGCTGAGCTCCTCTTTGAGCGAGGCCAGCGTCTGCTGCAGGTTGTTCTCCTTCCGCCACAGCTCACTGCGGAGGGCAGTGGCGACGGACGGGCGGGGTTAGCGGTCAGCCGCGGACAGGCGGACGGGGTCAGCCGCGGCGGACGGGCGGGGTCAGCCGCGGCGGGCGGACGGGGCTCAGCGGACGGGCGGACGGGGTCAGCAGCGGCGGACGGACGGGGTCAGCAGCGGACGGACGGGTGGATCAGCGGCGGACGGGTGGATCAGCGGCGGACGGGTGGATCAGCGGTGGTTGGGGCGGGGTCAGCAGCGGCGGACGGACGGGGTCAGCCGCGGCGGACGGACGGGGTCAGCCGCGGCGGACGGGTGGGGTCAGCAGCGGCGGGCGGGGTCAGCAGCGGCGGACGGGGTCAGCAGCGGCGGACGGGTGGTTCAGCGGTGGCTGGGGCGGGGTCAGCGGAGACCAGCTGGGCGGGGCCAGCTTTAAAATCATTAGCACCAGGCTGAGCAAATAACTTGTTGGCAACTTAAGCTCTAAACGTTGTTCAAAATACCATCTTCCATCAAGAGGGTAAGTAAGTAAGGGTGAATGATGTCGGCTTTGGAGTGCAATCGTAGCCTGTATGGGTGCCATGGCTAAAAATAATGCGAGGTACAATAATTTAGCTAATCGAAGCAGCGTTAACGCTTTAAAGTCAATATAACACATCACTCGTCAAGCATTGGAACCGTTCTCACTAAACTTCCATAACAAGCTACAAAGCTACTTTGCTTGAGCGAAGGAAAATAAACAAAGCGTGCAAACAAAATGCAGCTGCCAACGATTGCGTACATGCACAGAACAAAGCCAGCGAGCAGCAAACGCAAACAAGGACTATGATATAGCATGTCTGGCACAGGAATCATATTGAAGGGAGGAAGAGAATAAAGTGAAGGAAAAGATACGAGAAAAGTATGAAAGAGAGTATCTGGAAAGACGAAGAAGAGAGGGCAGGAGCCGGGGCAGGGGCGAGTGCGAGGGAAACGGCGAGGGAGAGAGAAAGAGAAAGGGAGCGAGCGGACACGAGAGGGAGAGGGACAAAGAAAGAGAAAGAGAGAGAGAGAGAGAGAGAGAAAGAGAGAAAGAGAGAAGAGAGAGGGAGAGAGAGAGAGGAGAGAGAGGAGAGAGAGAGAGAGAGAGAGAGAGAGAGAGAGAGAGAGAGAGAGAGAGAGAGAGAGAGAGAGAGAGAGAGAGAGAGAGAGAGAGAGAGAGAGAGAGAGAGAGAGAGAGAGAGAGAGAGAGAGCTTCCGAGCGGGCTGACTGGCGGTCTGCTGCGCGGCAGGCGGGACGGGGAAGGACTGCTCGGACCTCCTCTCGTGGACGCGCTGGTCGTGCTCCTTCTTCAAGTCCGAGTCGCGCTGGTAGTAGCCGCGGATCTGGGCCAGCGTCTCGTCCTGCAGGGTCTGGGCGGCCTGCGGGAGGCCGGAGGCGGCGGCAGAGTAAGGACCGGAGGTAGAAAGGGTGGCGGGTGGGGGCCGCGTAGACGAGGATTAGGGAGGGCCACCAGGGGCGGATCCAGGAAAACTCCAAGGGGAGGGTCATGAATCGAAGTGGTGCCCCTACCTATACCCAAAATTAAAAACTCAACGGATTTCGTCCACTTCATTTTGGTGGTGCCCCCATTTTCAGTTTTTTATTTTATTTTTTTATTTTTAGTCAGTATCTTACCTCTTAGCCACAACCACATTTACCAATTGTAAGCAAGTATATATGAATGTGCTATGTGTATATATGTTGTGGACGCTGAGTAATGAGTACTTACCAGGAACGTTATCAGGTAAGCAAATCGTTGTCAGTCCGACGAACTTGACCCTGGCGTCTAAAGGGTCTGTCCTTGACACTTCAGGCTTGTCAGGGGCACCAAAGTCCTTCCAGGGACACCACAAACCTGTCAGGGGCACCTACGGCCTTGTAGGGGCGCCACAGGCCCGCCAGGGGCACCACAGGCCTGCCAGGAAGCAGGGGCACCACAGGTCTAGCAAGTATATACGACAGGCCTGTCAGGGGCAAACGGGCCTGTTGGGCCCATGAGCACCCCTAGGGGCAGGGGCACCACAGTCCTTCCAGGGGCACCGCAGGCCTGTGAGGGGCACCAGCGGCCTAGCAGGGGCACCAGTCAACACAGGCCTGCCAGGGGCACCACAGACCTGCCAGGGGCACCAGAGGCCTGCCAGGAGCACCACCGACCTCGCAGGGGTAACTTGGGCCTGTCAGGGCCCAGGGGCACCACAGGCCTGTCGAGAGGCACTTCAGGCTTTTCAGGGGCACCATAGTCCTCTCCGGGCGCAGGGGTAGCAGGGGCACCAGAGGCCTGCCAGGGGCACTACAGGCCTAGCAAGGGCACCACTGGTCTATCAGGGGCACCGAGCCTGTCATAGCCAGGCATCTCAGGCTTGTCAAGGCCCAGGGGCACCACAGGTCTGTGAGGGGCACCAGCGACCTAGCAGGGGCACCAGTCAACACAGGTCTGCCAGGGGCGCCACAGACCTGCCAGGGGCACCACAGACCTGCCAGGGGCACCAGAGGCCTGCCAGGGGCACCACCGGCCTCGCAGGGACACCTTGGGCCTGTCAGGGGCACGACGGGCCTGCCGAGGGGCACTTCAGACTTTTCAGGGGCACCAGTCCTCTCCGGGCGCAGGGGCACCAGAGGCCTGCCAGGGGCACCAGCGGCCTAGCAAGGGCACCAGAGGCCTGCCAGGGGCACCACAGGCCTAACAAGGGCACCACGGGCCTGTCAGGGGCACCTCAGGCTTGTCAGGGCCCAGGGACACCACAGTCCTTCCAAGGGCACCGCAAGCCTGTCAGGGGCACCAGAGGCCTGCCAGGGGCACCACAGGCCTAGCAAGGGCACCTCTGGCCTGTCAGGGGCACCTCAGGCTTGTCAGGGCCCAGGGGCACCACAGTCCTTCCAGGGGCATTACAAGCCTGTCAGGGGCATCAGAGGCCTAGCAAGGGCACCACAGGCCTACCATGGACACCACAGGCCTGCCAGGGGCACCACCGGCCTTGCAGGGGCGCCTCAGGCCTGTCAGGGGCACCACGTGCCTGCCGGGGACACTTCAGGCTTGTCAGGGGCGTTACAGTCCTGTCAGGGCCCAGGGGCACCAGGCCCGTGGTGTCCCTGCTAGGCCTGTGGTGCCCCTGGCGGTCCTGTGGTGCCCCTGTCAGGACTGTGATACCCCTGATAGGCCGGTGGTGCCCCTGGAAGGTCTTTGGGCCCCCGGGCCTCAAGGGGGGGGGGGGGCCATGACCCATGTGACCCCCCCCCCCCTTGGATCCGCCCCTGAGGGCCACCGACTGGAACTGGGCCTGAGACGGGCGGCCGCACCGCTTTGTTGGTCGGACAAGCCGCGTGGGCCAGGGCGACGAAACGAGTAAAGACAGAAAACTCCAACCGGACAGGGGATGCTGCAGTGCACAAAATGCTAGGTGGTGAGGATTTTGTCACAATATACCCGAAGCATGCCAGGCGAGTGCAGCATTAGTTATCCACCGACGGCTGCGAACGTGGGGTTGTGATATGCACCGCCACCAACAGTTAAAACCATGCAAGAGAGATGGATCGTGGCCGAAGCCTCTCGCGGCAGCACATACAACAAACAGTAACGGGAGCCGAAGAGGACCAGGCCGTGCGGGTTACACACAACTCCGTGCAGGCAGACACAGTCAGCAGGATCCCGCCGGTCGGCCGGGCCGGTGTGCGTGTAACACACAACTCCGTGCAGGCAGACACAGTCAGCAGGATCCCGCCGGGCGGCCAGGCCGGCCAGCGGAGGACGCCGGTGAGAGTCGCCACCATGCGCGCGGGTGTGCCGGTGCCGAACAGACGCGAGAGGAAGCTCCAGAGCCGCGACACGAACCACCACCACGACAGCCCCGATCACTACCACCACCGCGGTCCAGCGCCGCCGCCGGAGCCGGGACGGGCGGACGGAGGGCGGCCGGCTTACTTTCGCTCGCTCTGCAGCTGATCTTTGCGCTTCTTCATGTCGTAAAAGCCCTTGTTGTGATCGTCGATGCTGAGTCGATAGCGGTCCATCTCACCAGTCATCTCCTGAACACCCGGTCGGTACAGTCCGCGGTCAGTTCGGCACATCGACAGTCACAGACAAAGAAACACTGCCGGTTCCCGACCATCCCCTGCAGATACAATCCGCTTAGGAGCCGCGCAGAAAATGGCAGCGTTTGATTCAACCATTTGAAAATCAACATCAGTATTTATTGTGTCTTCATAACTGACAACAGGGTTTTGTAAAACGAAATGTTAGATTTTTAAAACCTTATCCCCGATGCGGCAGCGAACAGTACAAATCTGCATCTCGGATCGAGTGTGAGAGCCCCTCCCCACCCTCCCTTCCGAGTGACGGGGCGCTGCCTCTGACCTCGATGCGCCGCTCCAGCTGGACCTTTTTCTCGGCGTCCTTGGTCAGGTCCTCCGACAGACGGTCGATCTGCTCCTTCTTGTCCTTGATCTGCTTGTTGAGAGACCTGCAGAGGAGCGCACAGAGCGGCGTCAGCGCTAAACGAGTCACACAGTCCTGGTGATGGTGAAAATAGTCTCAGTGAGCAGAGCAAGTACAAAATAATTGCAAATCAAACAAATTGTAAACAGCGAGTTTGTTAATCAAACAAGCTGCTCGTTAAGAACGTTGCGATCGGTTACAAATCCATTGTGCAATGTACAACGTACATTCGATCATCTTTAACCCGGCAGGCGGTGGGCCTCCCGGCCACCTTCCGCGCGGTGGGGGGGGGGGGGGGCATTTTTTTGCCCCCTCCCCCGTATCTCCGAAACTACTGGACGGATCCGGAAAATTCTAACGGCGTTCGATAGCCCTGTTAAATTTGTCGAAGGAAACCAAATTTCATTGACTTCGGGGTCACCGATGACGTCACAGGTCAGGTCAAAGATAAAATGTTTCACCGTTCACGGGGCTTCTAGCGAAAGCGCTATAACACCGAGTAAAACGCATTTTGTCGAAAATCAGCGATAGGGCGTCAGTTTTCTAGTACATATGTTGCTATTAGAGGTCACTGGTCATACCAGGTCAGGTCACAGGTCAGGTCACCAAAGGTCACCAAGGGTCACCACATGAACCCAACTTTACTAAGGTTGTGCGATGCATGTTTTATGGCCAGTTTTTCATTTCCAACTCAATGGTGTTGGTTATAAGACCATCAGGTACGGTTTAAGTCACTTTCTGGTGGAGGTTAGGTCAAGGTCAGGTCAAAAAAGGTCAAATTTCAAAGTTGACATTTTTGCATAAAATGGGTATTGATTCGATGCAGCTCGTCACGGGGAGTCTAACGGTGGTCTTTGTTTTGCGCTACGAGGTCTAGAATTGCTAAAAAGTGAGTTTGAAAATTTGACGTCATCATTTTTGAAGTTTTTTTTTCGCTATAACTTGGCCAAAGAAAGAGGTATCGATCTCAAATTTGGTATGTAGATAGAAGGCGGTAGGACTAGGGACTATCACATATCTTCCCGTTTTTTCGAAATTCAAAAAACTTTTTTGATTTTTCGGCTATTATAATAATTTTTTTTTGGGGGTCAAAACCCAAAAATTTCAAAAAACCGAGATAACAGTTTTGTAGCCCCCTAAATTCTACACCTTTTATGTATGAAACATTTTTCTGTATCTCTAAAGCTGTAGGCCTGACAGCTCTTCTCGCGAAACCTTTTTTTGGGTCGAAAATGGCAGAAATGACGTCACTCTGATGTCATTAGCGTCAAACCTATCATAGCCTTTGGGAAAATTTTGGTCACAATGTGCAATAACAATTCACGGGAGGGTTCTGAAAGTTTGGTGACGATCGGCGCAGCGGTTCTCGAGATATATTGAAAAAACTCAAGGGGGGGGGGCATAAAAAATGCCCCCCCACCGCCTGGAAGGTTAACGAACGTTTGCATATAGAAACATCGCGCCATTCACCGTCATGTCCTATAATTTTATCCATCTAACCAAAATAGATATGAAAATAACGCTACCACCGTCTAACCGAGCAGCTCTGCCACCCTAAGACCGTATTATTCTGCCACAGTCCGACTGTGACTCTGCCACCGTCCTACAGTGACTGCCACAGTCCGACAGTGACGCTGCCACCGTTTGAACGCAACTCTGCCCCCGTCCATTCTGACCTGAGCTCCTTCTGGATCCACTGGTCTCGCTGGTCCTTGGATGTGAACTGGCTGCCGCGGCCCTGCTTCGCGTACAGCTCCTTCCGCTTCTGCTCCTTCAGACTCAGCCTGGTGGCCGGGTCGAACGTGCGTCAAATACGTGTACACGATATGGACATTGGACAGTCACAGCACACCATACACACCAGCAGCTGTCGGTTCATCCCCCATCACACCCCCGGGGCCCAGTTAAGTCCCCGACAAAGGTACCCCGGCTCCCCAGCGGTAGGCGGTAGCAATGCATTCGTTCCCAGGTCTCGGCAGTAGGTGGTAGACGCATACTCACTCCCGTGTGCACTCCTCCTCCTTGCGCTTCATCTCCTCGTACTGAGGCCGGTTCTTCTCCAGCTCGCCCTCCTTCTGGCTGATGGTCTGTCGCAGCTTCTCCAGCTCCTGCTCCGCCCGCTCCTGCAGTCACGCGCACACCGCGTCACATACGGACATCCCTGAACGTGCTGAGCATCGGCAATGTGTGAGAAAGGTAACAATAACAAGAGATAAATTTTGACAGCTGCGTATTCTGAATTACCGGTCTCGAAGCAGACAGCACAGGTCTCCTGTGTACCATGTTGGAGGGTTAAATTGTCAGCAGAAGGCCCCGAGCTGGGATTGATCAACGACGGCTCGACGGCCGGCCGGTAGGCCTGCGGTGCGGGTCCGTCGCCAGTGACTGACCTTGGACTTGTTGTCGCCCATGACCTCGTCGGAGAGGTCGCGGATGGTGAGCTCGAGCCGGGTGCGGTCCTTGAGCAGCTGCTGGTTCTCGGCGTTGTACGCGTCGCGCTCCTCCTTAGCGGCGCCCACCTTACCTGGCGGATAGGCAGGAGCGTCACATTGACGGATTGCCATCACTATCCGCGTTCCAATGTTAAATGTCAGAAAAACGCTGAACAGCGTGGACGGCCCTGGGTTAAAGATTCTAGATATGACGTATGCTAGCTTCACTGAATGCAGTAAAACGCTTCTTACTTTTCACATCCTTGAGCTCCTTAGCAGCTGTTTTAGCCTTCTCTTGCGCATTTTGCAGCTGGTTCTTCAGCTTCTCTTGCTCTTTACCCGAGTTGTTCCGCTGATTTTCCATCTACAAGACAAGCATACAAATCCAATGTCAATAAACATACAAAGGTAACACAAGCACAAAATCGAAAAGAGCAACGTCCATTACAACTGTCACCCATGCTCTCCATAAAGGGGTGACAAAAAAGGGTTAGCTGCTGGCACGGGACGTGTCCTACAATTCCCATATGACCTCAGCTGTGTAACTCACGTCGTCCAGTTTCTTCCTGTTGTCCTTGAGCTCACGGTCGTGGATGGTGTACTCGAGTGAGCGGCGCATCTTGTCCCACTTCTGGTACTCCTTGAGCTCCTCCTTCTCCTCCTCCAGGGCAGACAGCCGGTCCTCGATCGTGCGCAGAAACTCCTCAATCTTCTCCCGCTTACTCTCGCACTCTGGGAGAGGCACACGCGAAAAGTCAATTGACTGCCCCCCCCCCCCAAAAAAAAGAATAACAGTAAGACTATACACTGTCATGCACGATCATGACAATGAAATGGCAATACAGGAACTGAATTGTTGATGAAGGAAACTAATCGTCAGAATCAGATATTGGTTTAATTCACTGACGATCATCCGGCCATATAAAACTTTGCCTAAAACGATCAGCAAAGTAGCAATCACAGTGATCCTCTCCAATATTAACAGGCCCGCGGCCACGCAGCTGGACACTGGCTCCGCCCGTGAGGATCGCCTCTTACCTTTCAGCAGCACCTTGGACTCCTCGCGGCGCTCGTCATACACGCGCGTTCCAGCCACCTCTCTGAGCAGCTTGAGGCGCTGCGAATCGGGCGCCGTCGCCATCTGGTTGATCTGCCAAACGGACCGGTCATTCGTCAGTAGAATCACACGATACCACGGGGCACCGAGAAACAAAGTCATGGAGGTCCAAGCATGCACCGGAGAGTTTCATTACCTACAAATGATCGTGGTTCGGGTGTATGACGGTACGGGCGACGTTACCTTGCCCTGTTTGACGATGTAGTAGGGGTTGGAGCGGGAGAAGCCGGCCGACTCCAGCAGGTTCATCACGTCCGTCTTGGGCACCACCTTCTTGTTGAGGAAGTACTGGTCCTTCTTGGAGCCGATCACACGGCGCAGGTACACCTCCTCCTTGTCAATCTGAGGCGCAGCAGCGACACGGGCGTGTCGGGTTATCACGGGCAAAAACCGATATCAAAATGACAGCGATACACAGAAAAGTCCCACAAAAAAAATCACACATCTCGCCAAGCTTAGTTTCTGGATTCCCACGCACGCCGGGAGGGTGGCGATCGAACACCATACTTGTAGTGTTTTGCATCATACAGCGACAATAAGAGAACGTTGGCGTCACGTCAACGATCATACACCAAGACCTTTTAGCATGTCAAGTCAGTTAGAAAAAAAAAAACAGCAATGATGGATATCGTCGTAAGATAAATTTTGAAAATCACCGACGAATTCCATTTTGCGCATTCACTACCACACATCGATCCATGAATGATGAAAGAGAACATATTTTTACAGCTCTCTTATGTTCTAAACTTAGAGCTCAACTTACAGAGACTCGTTTACAAAAGCCAAAACGACCAGTCTATCAAACTACACCTAGTAATTCATAACCATTTCTTTTAACTGCAAGATAAATAAGAGGAATACTACTAGGATGCCACACTTCTGGAAACACTGTTAAAACAGTCATTGCTGACAACACTTTGATTGAAAGACGATTCAATAAACTATTTGACCTGGCCGAACGATTCCAAACAGTCCCCTGTACATACATATGTCAGGAGACCGTTTGAGGGGCGTGAGGAGGCGTGAGGGGGAGGAGAAAGAGCAGTGAGGGGCTGCGCGGCCGCGACACCCACCGGCAGGCGTCCATCCGAATTGTCGAAGATGATCTCGACGTATGCAGAGATGACGCGCGGCCCGGTGCCCTCGTGCAGCAGCGCCTGGCGCTGGTCGGGCCGCAGGTGCGAGAACTCGTCGCTGAGCACAAACTGGATCGCTGCACAGCCATACAAATAGTGTTAAACACAGTTACACCATACATGCTGAGAGCAGTCATAGGCTAATTCAAACAGCAGAAAAGGACAACTCATTGCACACAAAAAAGACAAAGTCATATATACTCGTAGGACTTGCACAAGAAGGCAGAAATTGAATATATTGCAACAAAGTTAAACTGCCTTGATGTGATTGCAGAAAGGGACAGCAGCAATTATTAAAAATGGTTCAATTACCAGGCAAGATAAAAACAAAAAAACTTACCATAAAAGAAGTTACTCTTGCCTGATCCATTACGCCCCACTGAAACAAAATGACAGTTAATGCTTATGAGGGATGAAATGCAATGTGAATGCACAATTCATGAATGAATGAAATACACCACAAGGAAGCTTAACTGTTCTTAAAATGAAGATTCCAATTAATTATTGTGATTGACAAAGAAGCATGAAGAAGAAATTATGTGACAACCCAAGAGGCAAACATGGGCCCTGTTACACTTAACTCGACAGAAGAATTACATGTTTTTTATAAGTACATGGCATTTACACATGCCTGTGAGAAAATATTGCAAATTTACATGGGCACGAAATGACAACAACTCAGCTGTTCACCAACATGAAATGAGACACTTACCAACTACATTGTGTCTGTGGTCAAATGGCTCTATAACAGTCTGGTCTCTGTAGCTCTTAAAGCCCTGGATGATAATCTGCAAAAAAAGTCAAACAAGTCCAGCACATTTATGCTTGCATTTATGGATACAGACAGATAAAACAACAAAATACCAGATTAAAATAAAATGCAAATTGTTTTGAGTGTCCACAGTACACATAGCTTTGTCTTTACTTCTCAACAACGATAGCAAAATCAATGAATTTTATAATCAATGTTGATCAGTTATATAGTTATATGCAGAAAACATTGAAAATGGAATGCAGTGATCATGATACAGATGGGCTCATCAATTAATAAAGTACAACCATTAACCCGCGCCCTGATGGGGGGGGGGGGGGCACTTTGCCCCCTGTCGTTTTTCTTAAATAGCGAGAAAACGGGCGCCGCCAAATTTTCAGGACCTTCCCGGGCATCAATTTGACACCTTCACACACAAGTTCAAGTCACAGGTCACCTTGGGTCAGGAGTTATTGAGGTCAAACTGAGGTCATGTTCGAGTAAAAATGAGCAAAAAACGGCATCTTGAAACGCTCACTAAATCTACAATTTACAAGCAATTTCAAAGTTCTTTACGTGGCTGTGTAAAGAAAAAACGGCAATACAAAACTGCTATTACGGATTTTCAAAATTTTGGGATTTTAACCCCAAAAAATGAAAAAAAATGTTTTTCTGGAAAAGCTAAAAATTCCAAAAAAAAATCGAATTTGGAAAAAACGGAATATGTGTGATAGTCCCTGCACTCTTCGATAAACATACCAAATTTTAGATCGATATCTCCTTTTTTGGCCAAGTTATAGCGAAAAAAAAAACTGTTCAAAATTGATGACGTCAAATTTGTGAACTCAATTTTTAGCAATTCTAGACCTCGTAGCTCAAAACAAAGACCGCCATTGAACTTCCCGTAACGAGCTGCATCGAATTGATACCCATTTCATGGAAAAATATCAACTTTGAAATTTGACCTAATTTGACCTGACCTTCACCAAAACATAATCTCAACTGACCCCAAGGGCTGCCTGTCCCACATAATCGCATTTGGCATATAAAATGGACCATAAAACATGCATCACGTGATATTTTTATATTGTGACCCTCAGTGATCCGACCTCTGTGACCTGACCTAGTATCAGTGACCTCAAATAGCAAAATATGTGTTTGACGAACATTTCCCTATCGATGATTTTCAATGAAGTACATTTAACTCTATTTTACAACGCATTTCTTGAAATGTCTGCAAACGGTGAAAATTCGACCTTTGTCCTGATCTGTGACGTCATCGGTTTGACCGAGGTCAATGAAATTGGGTCACATCACATGGTAGTTCCCCGTTGGCACTATCCAACGCCGTTTGCCGCTTGTCGCTATGTTGCGTGGTTCTCGAGATCTTGGGGGGGGGGGGGGCAAAATGCCCCCCCCCCCCATCAGACCGCGTTGCTCGGCAGACCCCATCAGGGCGCGGGTTAAATTGAGTTATAGGTCATGCAATGCTTAACCTGCGCCGGGCCGGTGCTCCGAGACTTCCGCGCCGGGCCGGGGGGTCTCTGAACAGTGACCCCCCCCCCCCTTCTAACTCGGCTCCTGGGCCACGTAGCGACACGCGGTAAGCAGCAATCGAAAGAACGTCCAAAATAAGGACGAAAACACTCAGTCATTTTTGGGCCAGGTCAAAGGTCAGGTCACCAGAGGTCACCAAAGGTAAAATGTTGGCTATTTCAACATTTTGGAAACTGCCAACGGCTAACTCGGGAACCGATAGAGCTACAGCGCCGCGGAAAAGCGGATTCGATAGCTCTTTTAACTCTCTTTCGCCAACATGTCCTCAGATTTGACCTTAGGTCAACGTTTTAGCCTCTAGAGGGCAAAAACTCCAAAAATAGTCGTTTTTACGAAGTGTTTTTTTCGGCAATAACTTTTGACTCAAAAGAGCCAGGACATTACTTTTGCCAGCATCGTGTTCTTCTCGTCGAGACGCTTCGAATGAAGTATAATTTGACCTTGAAAGGTCAACTTGAAAATTTGAGCTCAGGTCAAGGTCATGACCTGACCGGCAAAGGTCATGTTGCATAGCAGTCGATCCGCATTGTCGAGCCGAACACATCTCATGCGTTTTCATTGCTCTAGAATGCCTCTATCAGAAGTTATTAGCGAAAATTTGTTAGATACTATTCGTGACCTGAGATGACCTCGGGGACATAACGAGGGGTCACAGGTGCCATTTTCCGGTTCAGTGTGTCAATTTAACCTGCATACCGATGTTTGAGAGTGTCTAGAATGGCGTTCGTTCAAAAGAGACGCTTTTCAATTTTCTCCCATTGACATATAATGGAGAGGCCGCAAAATTGACCTGACCTTAGGTCACCGATATCAAAATTCCGAGATATACATTTTATAGATACTGTTACTCTTATCAATCGCTAAAAGTGTAAAGGCAATCGTTCAGTCGGTGTAGCTACGACGAGCATTCTATTTTTTATAAGGTGAGGTCACTTGACATGACCTGGTGAGTGGTGACCTGACCTGGAGGGACCTGGGTCTGAAATTTTCACACCATGTGCGGAAAAGATGCACAAACAAGTATGCCAAAAACGGCGGCGCGGAGCACCACCGTTTTTTAGATACCTGCGAAAAACCGCAGGGGGGTGGGGTGTTCAAACACCCCCGGCCCTGCGCGCCGGCGCGGGTTAATTAACCCTCGCCCGTAAACGGTGTTTTGCCACCTTCGCCCACGCAGGGGGGGGGGGGGGTTGGTGCGACCCCCCCCTGGCGTTTGAAAACGAAGCGTCGTAGAGCTTAGCGGAAAAGACCAACGGATTGCTCTCAACGAGATCTCGCGATTGGTGGTATATTTTTTGGTCCTAGGTCAACATTTGACCTACTTATGACCGGTCAAAGGTCAAATTTTCGAAAAAATCTAACTTTTTCAGATTTCCGCGCCGATTGCGGCAAAACCGTAAGAGATATCGACTTGAAACCTTCACTATCGCGATCCTTGATCAATTCTCTATCGTTTGGTGTGTATTTCGATGTCATAACTCTAAAAATGATGCGTTGGGAGCATCGGAAGTCTGCAAGGTCATTTGTGCATTGGTTCACGTCAGGCGTGTGGCGTCACTGACCTGACCCTGACCCAAAATGAACAACAAGAAACAACCGACGATGCCTGAAATGGATAGCAAATTCGAATTCAGGGCATCAAAATACCCCGAAAAGGCATACAAGTGCAAGAAGTCATTAGAGGTCAACCGAGGTCACTGACCTTACCTTGACCTTTAGTGACCTTTAAAATGTCAACAGACATTGTGTCAATGTCAAATCAGCCAGTTGTGATTCTAAAACAATCCATCAGTGCGTCAGGTCAGTCGGCATTTATACCAATGTGAAGCAATCTCCAATTTAGCGTAAATCTGGCCGGAGGTTGTTCCCTTTATGACGTCATAACTCCGTGACCTGACATGACCTTGACAAAAATTTTTACCAAAAGTTGCACAAAGAATGCCCCAAAGGGTACTGAAAATTTGAGCAGGCTATCTGAAACGGTTCGGCGTGTAGCTAAGAAAAACCTCAGGGGGGGGGGGTTGCACCAACCCCCCCCCTACATGGGCGAGGGTTAAATGATGTTTTGTAACCAACAAAATTCAAGTGCCTTCCAACTCACTTGTTTGATGTACATGTCTTCTGCTGTTCTCCCTCAAGTAAGCAGATCAGCTATGTCTATCAAAACTGAACCTGAAACACCAATAGAATTCACATTAATAAAGAAGAACACTAAAACTATGTAGTGAGTTATTAAATATCATGAATTCAAACAACTTATTTAGAAATCTGCTAGTTACTTCAGCCTTGTATGGCATGACCAGTGCTGCAGGCCAGGGTCAAATTTCAGAGTCAATGGGGCTCTCTGGACCCTGGAGTCAGAGTCTTCAAAATCTCACTGGAACTGACTCCAGAGTCAACAATGCATGGCTTAGCCATACTTGATATTATAAGCCCAGTTGCTGAGAAATATATCATTAGTTGACCTACCTTACCAAGACAGAATTTGTCAAAGCTAACGCCAGACATGTGCATTGTGGGTGGATCCAATAAAAAAATATGGCACCTGATTCTAATGTATTTTTATCTAGAATCTTATAAAATCATAAGTCCAGTTGACAGCAATCTCATTTGCCAGGAGAGAGGTACCTACATTGAAAGCTTAGATCTGAGATTATTTTTGTCTTGAGAAATGGTGAGATCATACTATGATCTCATAGATTCTCACTCAATTTGTCTGCACAAAAACACATGATCAGCCACTATTGCAATATATGAACAACTATGAACTAATCCTAATTGTCCCTGGATGGGTGCCACCCCATGACTATTTACAGTGAGGCAATTTCCTGATTATTTCATTAGAGCAGGTACCTACCTACCTACCCAGCTTACATCAATGTTCTGGGTAATATGTATTATATTGACATATCATTTTTATGGTCCATGATGCACATCTCTGGCTACTGTAATTGATATGCAATGTTTTTGTTATCATCCATTCACATTTGACAACTTTTACCTGGACCCCGTTCAGTTCAAGTGTCTGCGGCTCCCGCCTCCCGCGGTGAAAAAGGCAGGGCTTAGCCAACAGGCCAATCAGGATGCTGCAAACTGCTGTCTGTGTCACTGGACCTTTTTGACCATAGGAGCCACGGCGGCTGCAGACACTTGAATAGAGCCCCGTTTCATTTTAAGTCCTACAAGGAGCGGTAACAACGGGTACCTATGTGTTATCCATGTTTTCATTGATGTACTTTTATTCAAAAAATGAAAATATAGTGCTAAGCCCACTTCAAATTGGAGCTGGTCAAAGTGAAGTAGCATCCCTGAAACAGAGTGGTGTTCATGGGCATCACAAACTGCTGAGTGCGACTCAGTGCAGTGTGTGCGGTGTGTGCAGCAGGCATGGGGGTAGGGAATGGGTAGGCGGTTCTGAGGCCACAGCTGCGTGCGGTGGACACTGGACAGTCCCCTGTGGCCGGCCCCGACCGACCACAGTGGTCGTTTGACACTGTGTGCAGTGACAGAAGGATGACGTAGGGAAGCAATGGGCGGAGCTTCCAGCCTGTGTATGGTCCGACCGCACACTGACACAGGGCCTGTGAGGCGTGAACAGCCCTGAAGTATCAGTATACAGCAAAAAAGGCCATTCCAGTGACAACTGACAAAGAAATCATGAGCTATCCGACACAACACCGACAAAAGGCATTTGCATTGACAGTATTGGCACAACAAGGCAATGCCTCAATAAATGTAATCAATCATTGTAATAATCGCTCGAAAGTCGAAATTGAGATCGATAAGTTCTAGGCTTGAGCTAACAATACTTACTCCCAAGTGTTGTTTATTTTAACATAAATTCAGACCTCATCACACCCGATCCAGTAATTTGAGCGGCAGCACAACAGCAAATTGTTGTTGTTTTTACACCAAACAAACATACTGTATATAAAATGGCGCATTTGTGACGTGCAAGGTGCAAAGCGGGAAACAGTACATTAAAACGCTGCAATTTTACGTTTTGAGATAGTTCCCACACCTTTTCCAGTGTCTTCGCTTGTATTGAAAGCTTCTATTGATACAAATTACAATTTCACTGTGCCTGTGAACCACGTTTTCAATGTCACGCTTATTCTTACATCGGCCGTGAGCATGCCAAGCCCGAAGCCGAGCCAAGACTCAAGAGCAAGCCGTAATCGCCACGCCATATGTGGAAGGCTTTTGGTGTCAATACATACATACATACATACATACATGCCGTAAGCATCTTTACGAGTAATGAGTGCCACTGCCATAGGCTATTGCATTGAAGATTTCGGGTTCGAAGCGCGACGGGCGCTCGACATTTATGGGCCTCCTGACAGGTATGGTTGCGGTTGGTGCCGGTGGCAGGCCGTAGCCAGGCGAAGTCAGCGAGGGGACCGGCCGTGCGCGGCTTTGTGCGCACGTTAAACTTTGGACTCTAAATTCTGCCATAGAACTGGAATTGCGCGATCGGAGGGTAGAGGGCAGGGTCATCGCAACAAGCTTCGCTTAGCGGTGGCTCTGTCCTTGTGAATCCTTGCCATTAAAAGTTCGGACAAAATTTATTTTAAAAAAAATGTCCCTGGCAACGGTAAGCGTATATGAGTTGTAACATGACCAAGATTTATCGATATATTCCCAGCTATAACAAACGAAATGAATAATGCGTGAAATGTCTTCATTTTCGTCAAGGTGGCGCTCTGCTTATGGTCAGCTCTGCTCAGCTCTGCTGCTAGCTCCAAAACTTCAACTTCAATGGTCTTATGTATTTCGAGAATTCTGCACCATCCCGCCTATATTTATACAAATATGACAAAATAGTGAAAGGATATGTCCCCTGCACTGTCATGTCAGCGTGGTGCAGAACAAATCGCAGGTACGAACATCTTTTAGCTTATTATCAGACACTTTGTACACAGTGAGACAATGAAGGTTGGCTCTTGATGAGACGTGAGCAGAGACCACCACCGAACAGCCGAGACAGACGTGGCTCTTCCTGCTGCAGATGTCACAAGAAGCTTAGCGAGAAGTCCTTGTACTTGTTTGACGTGCAGACCTCGATGAACTTTCCGCAGCCGCCAATGGTCATCAGCTGGGGATCAGAAACCGGACTGTTGGCGCAGCAACACAACAGGGCAGAAGCGCGATGAAATATCTGCAGCACGCTGACTAGCTTCAGCCTCATCAAATGACATATCAAAAGACACTTTAACGGAAAAGCGACACGTTTTTGCAAGTGTGAAATTACCACGGAAGCCTGATAACTACCTACTGGTTTGCGTACCTACTGCGAATCACCCACACTACAGGATTGACACCTGCACGACCAACATACTGCACCACGAATCGACTTAGTGACCAGATCTGACGGTGCGGCGCGCGCGACCTACCTTGGTGGGCTGGGTGCGCGCCAGCACGGTGAAGACGGCGGAGCAGTCGGTGGGGATGGTGCCGGCCCGCTCCCCGGTCAGTGTGAACTGGTGCAGGTCGGCCACGTCGCCACCGGCCAGCACCAGGCCGTCGTGGAAGCGCGCCTCGTGCACCACGGCCGGCACGTCGCACACGGCCGCCTGCGTCAGCGAGCGCAGGTGCCAGAGCGCCAGCCGCGGCCCGCCGCCGCACACCTGCAGCCGGACGGGAACGCACGGGTAGTGGCAGGTAGTTGAGAGGCACACACCGGGTGACGGCGGGCAGTTGAGAGGCACACACGGGCGGCTCGGGATCACATACAGAAAACACGGGATAATTGAAATCATTTGCCAAAATCATGCGTGAACCGAACGTTAAATATAGGGTCAGACATGGGAGGGTCGACGTCCATACATGGGCAGCGAGCTTTCTTTCATATGAAACATAAAATTCGTTACAATCTAGTCGGCGGCAATATTTGAAGCTCGAGCCAGCGGCGCCACGGCGACTGCTCCGCGCCGGGCGGCTGGCCTCACTGCCCACTCACCATCCAGTCGTCGGTGACGTCCAGCGCTCCGATCCACTTGCCCATGCCCCGCTCCAGGTCGCTGTGCGTGTGCGGCTCCACCTTGGACACCTCCTTGTTCTGCCGCGTGTCCCAGAACCGGACGGAGCCGTCCTCGGACGCGCTGACGCACTGATCGCCCCTGCAGACACAACAGACACCGGTCACACCAAACCGGATCACTGGACACCGGTAACAGCTAACAACAAACACACACCAAACGGCAAACATAGACACGTCAGATACCGGTCAAACAAAAATGATGGACAAAATAGAAGCAAAAAAAAAGCATTGGTGACACCAAAGGTCCGGGTCACAGCAGACACATTGGTCACACATAACTACAAATCAGACAACAGGCACATAGATACGCCAGATACCATCCACGAGCTACACCAAACACGAACAAGCCAGACATCAGCCAAACTCAACATGACGCCGGGACACAGACATGAAACGGCACTGTCCTGTCACGGCTGTCACCTGTAGTCATGCTGGACACAGGTTTCCTAAACAGGTGGCAACCCTTCGTCACTAAGTTCGCGCCGGTTCGTCAGAGACAGGCCGCCTAATATGTGACTGGACAACACTACGTCAGACTTCTGCGACATTTATCGCCAATCCGCTATCAGTTCGCAGTTATTGCGCGGATCAATCATGAAGGGAAAATGCCTTTTCCCAACCCCATACAAACACAGGAGGGGCATTCCACGATAGATCGTACCAGGCCCGTCACCCTCATCTCTCAGATTTTAAAGGTAGTGTGCCACCTTTGAATGATTTCCCATTTTATTTTTCCTAGGATAAGAAGCTTCTGTTTTTACCTAATATCGCAAAAAATCAAAAATGGGCCTAAACTAGTGCTTTTTTCGCCTAAAAGTTTATCGGTTTTTCGATATGTATAACAACTGTAGTGGGCTGACCTGCAAACAGGCGTCGGCAACAATCACGAATGCGGCGCACACGTGACAATAAGCAAAGGTCATAATAGAGTTACGACGTACGGGAATGAGTTATCAGCTGTCTAATCGTAGACAACACAATGTCGAATTTAAACTGTAAGCCTGTATTGGTATTGTTTCTTTAATTTGGCTGTCGAACATTAATTTATGGTTGGAAATATTATTTTATGTAAAATAATTGATATGAAACAGCCGTCTCTAAAGTTATGACCCCATCTCACCACATGAAAGTGGCAGAAATGACAATGATCAGCTGACGCATTTTTCTTGGCCGAAGTCAGAGCGCGCGGCCCGACGCACCACCACCGCGCCCAAAGCCAGGGCCCCGGTAACGTGAGGTAGCCGAGTCGGGGCAGCGTGCGCTGACCCAAGCCGGGGCCGCGGCTTTGGGCGCGGTCTACCGCATCCCCGCGGGCAGCCCCGGGCTATCACATGACACAGGGAGGACGCGCGGCCCCGGCTTTGGGTCAGCGCACGCTGCCCCGACTCGGCTACCTCACGTTACCGGGGCCCTGGCTTTGGGCGCGGTCTACCGCACCACCTAACAGGCGTGTTCGAAACCGCAGGAGATGATGATGAACGGGTTTATTGAAACTTGATTGGATGAGCCTATCGGTAATAGCGATTTCAGTGTGTGCATTTATTGTTCATAGTGGTGTGAAATGTGGTTGGGGTACGACCGACAACCCGTCGGGGCGAATTTCGCACTGGGGTACTCAAAATTTGAAGAATTTAAGACGTTTCCATGAGTATTGAAGGTATGGATAAGTTCTAAAAATCCAGTTCTCCTTATCTGGGCCATTAACTCCATACGGTTCAGGAAAGCTGGCACACTACCTTTAATGAAAATCGGTCCTAGGGGTAATCATAGGCCCCAAAGACGCCTGGCAAAATATCAGACTTCTCAGATCAAAACTTTTTGAGTTATATTGCATTACATTTTTTAACTTCGGTATGTAACGGTGAGTTTGATGGCCTATAACTAAAGAACGGGTTAAGCAACCAACAAAAAGTAAACAACACTAAGCTTGCGATGAATCAAAAATTAATATTACTATTTAAAAATTCCAAAGAAAAATTTCATTGTTGAGCAAAAACCTTAATCTTTTTTCATTTGCCTCTAATGACTTTTGGGACCAAAATTTTTCACATTTTTATTTTTTCAAAATAAACTTCATGTCATTGCAAATCGACATGCAAAAAATTAGAAAGGTGTTCTTTCTATAAGTTCCTCATTTTCCCGCAAACAAAATGGGTTTCGGAGGGGTTGATACGACCCCAGCACGCCGTTTCGCTTCTAATAGAGCTAGAGCCTCGCGGAAAAAAACGAGCGTGTGTGCCGTTACAAGTCGCAGCGATTCATACCCGATTTTAAGGTCTCAGGTTAACCGGTAGCGTCTGAGGTCAGGTCACGTGACTGAAGTTACGGGTTCGGTTTTTAGTAAATAACTTCGCAAAAAATGGCCGCAGAGCCGCATTTTGGCATCATAGTGTTCGCCTAGCTCAGGTGCATCGAATGGTATACTTTTTGCTAGGGTGAGGTCAACTTAAGTAGTTGACCTCGGGTCAAGGTCAGGTCAGAGCCCCTCAGGTCCAGGGTTGTATACGACTCAGTCAATAGCAATCAATTCAATCACGACAAATTTGGGAAACCAATCAAATTGATTCAATCGACTCAAACGCGACAATGAAAGGAATCAATCAACTCAATCAAACGACTCAAACCAAGACATACATTAGGTTTTTTGCCCACCAACTTGGAAAAGTGTCCATAGCAGTCTGGTGTACCTACCTACCTACCTACCTACCTACAGAAGAAACATAAAAATATTGTCATTTAAAATTATAAATTGTCATGCCATTCAAAGTTTCTATGTAATAAGGAAGGATACCTAGTGATGGACAGGTGGATCATGATATTGAGGTTCAATGGGTAGAATTGGAGCAGAAGTTTCATTTAATGGGTGCAAAATAACCCAGTAGTTGACTTGCCCCTTAACCCAAATCACCACCTTTCACCTAAAAGTTGTCAATTTAATTTTGGCCATATTCCAACTCCATTTACACTAAATATCAGATATTGCAGTTGAAAGTTGGCTGCTCGGATTTTGGCAGTGTTCGTGATTTGGCCATTTACCCTACACCATGTCTATTTCAATGGATTATATGCATCAATAACATATTAACCATAGGGAAATAGAAATAAATATCTTACCTGTATGTGACGGTTTTGGTTAGACAGAGACTGACGGGCAGCCTGAAAAATCTTTCCACACAATGTGCATTTGAGACGTGGGATGTCAATGTTAGGTACACTCGGGGGCAGATTGATGTTCCACCACTCCCTACCCATCGGGCCCCCATGGCTCAGCATTGGCTGCTGCCAGTGTTGCCTGCCCTCAGCATTGCTCATCACTGCCTGCCAGTGCCAGTGCTGCCAGTGCTGTCACTGGCAGCAGCCAGTGCTGAGCCATGGGAGCCCGACGGGTAGGGAGTGGTGGAACATCAATCTGCCCCCGAGTGTACCTATGTGAAGAATTCAAAACATTTGTGTTTGAATTTTATTGCAATACAATTTGAAACTGTTAGGACTGGGGGATAGGGATGAGGGTTAAAAAATATATTTAAAAGGAAATGGAGAGGACAGGAACTCTGGAACCACAGTATAAATATGAAATAATATTTTCGGAGTTTCTTGAGTGATATATATTGAAAAATTGATAGCAAATATTTCGATACTCGTAGTGGTACCTTTTTCAATGCGAGTGATCAGTGATGCACAGTGCGAGCTTTGTTAAGCACAACAAAATAACACAATTCCCATGCAATCGGTGGAGCTGGGTCCTCCAGTGCAGATAAAATAACCTATACGATACCGCCTTCCTAAGAACTTATACAATATCACTGTCTATCACGGAATTTTAATTAAATATTTAGACAATCAGCGCGAATTTAATAAAAAGAGCGTCACTTCAGTTACAGGTAAGTCACACTTACACAAGGTGACCCCCCCCCCCCTCGCGTGTTCGTTCAGCGTGCCAACCACTATTTTTTTAGCACAATGTCCCATATTGGGCTCAGCTGGACGCCACCGCTGTCGAGATTCATTGACGGGCGCAGCTGTCGGATCTCGATGGCCTCCCTGATTTTACGTTTTTTCCAGTGGCGTTCGATGGCTAGGGTTCTCGCCTCGAACGGGTTCAAGTCACCGCCACAGGTACAAAAGTGTCTGGCCGTCGCTGACGTATCGCAGCGTCCGTGCTTGATATCGGCGGTGTGCTCCTTCAATCTGTCCTGTTTTGGTCGCCCTGACTCTCCGATATAGCTGGAGCCGCACGAGCACTTTATCTCATATACGGCCCCTTTCTTCTTGCTCTGCTCCACGGGATCTTTGACGTTAACCAGGTGACCCCTCAATCGCTTGGATTTGTGAGCTACCTTGATTCTGTGTGGCCTGAGAACCTTGGCTATCCTTTCGCTGAGACCTGGGACGTAGGGCACTGCCGCATAGGCTTCTTGGTCTCTGGCGGCGGCTTCCCCCTGTACGGTCTGGCTGGCGTCACGGCGTCTCATAGCCCTCTTGATAAACGGCTCCGGATAGCCATTGGCTACGAACACATCCCGTATCTTGCTCTTCTCCTCCTTCACACTTGACATGTCGCTGCAGACCCGTCTTGCTCTGGCTTCCATGCATCTTATTAGACCAGCTTTCATGGCCGCGGGGTGGCTCGAGTTGTACTTCAGGTACACGTTTGATGCGGTCGCCTTCCGGTAGACTGAGGTGCCCAGCCGACCTTCTGACCTCTGGACAAGAACGTCCAAAAACGGCAGTTTCTGGTCCATGCATGGAAGCCATGCATGCATGGAAGCCATGCATGCATGGAAGCCAGAGCAAGACGGGTCTGCAGCGACATGTCAAGTGTGAAGGAGGAGAAGAGCAAGATACGGGATGTGTTCGTAGCCAATGGCTATCCGGAGCCGTTTATCAAGAGGGCTATGAGACGCCGTGACGCCAGCCAGACCGTACAGGGGGAAGCCGCCGCCAGAGACCAAGAAGCCTATGCGGCAGTGCCCTACGTCCCAGGTCTCAGCGAAAGGATAGCCAAGGTTCTCAGGCCACACAGAATCAAGGTAGCTCACAAATCCAAGCGATTGAGGGGTCACCTGGTTAACGTCAAAG